ACAATTAAATATAGAGAATCTCAATATATTTTCCCTTTAAAACTTTGCAATATGGTTATTTTTATCAATTAATTTCATTAACTTGCTTGAGGAAAAAAAAGAGAAGAAATTATTGTTTCAGGCCTAAAAAGTCATGTAGCATCATTCAAGAACTTTCTATCATAGGAAACATGGCAGAATTAGAAAAAAAAAAAAAATCTGCTTTTGCATTGTGCAAAACAAAGCTTTTATAAATTAAAATTATGGGTATTTTCTTGTCTCAAAGAGTGCATAAGACATTTGACATGGATCATTTGAGTTAAAATAATGACTTGTTTTTCCTTTTCTTGAGTTGACTAAATAGGTGTGTGAACGAGATTAAATTGTAAAGGTTAATAAGATAAGTTTAAGTACACCATCTATTGGTATATAATAATAATAATAATAATAATAATAATAATAGTAGAAAGAAAGAGCGAAGAGTCGCCGTTGCTAGGGTCCAATCCGGGTCGCCCGCGTGACAAGCGGGAATACTCACCACTATTCTACAACGACAATTGATGGCTCCGAGTATCAAATTGCCTATATTTCAATATTATACATTTCTTCACTTGTCCCATCCTCAATAAAATTTAAATTCGGCTAATAAAAGGAAATGAGATCATCTTACACACAAAGACTTTCGCAAATTCACAACCACTTAAAATATTTGGAGTAAATATAGTAACTCAAGTGCTGCGTCAATTGTTTAAAATTTAAAATGAATGATTGAGAATTTGATTAAGACTCACAAATGTATAAGTTAATCCCCACCCCTGCATGTTAGCTTCCAATAACTCTTTAATATCTTATGCTGCATTTTAGTTAGATTTCTGCACTGTATTTTCCTTTATCAGCAATATCATGATTCATGGGTCATGTATTCATAAGCTGAAGAAGAAGGGAAACAACTTCAAAGAAAATTTCACCCAGAAAAAATATACTAGCTCTTTATCACCTGAGAGGAACTAAATCAGTGTTTGTGGTGTCAAGGAAATTAAGAAGATAACTGGTTTTGATGAGGATCACTAGGAGCAAACACAGGCAGCTGGCCTCTCCTCTGCGCTCTACCCTGTCGAAAATGACTCACAGCTGAACCTCTATTCAGGCCAGCTGCTGCCTTCCTCGATAGTGTTGGTCATTCATGAGAGGACCACCAAAGGATATTGACTGACCAGTATAGAGAAGTTCTGTTCCAGGAACTTGTGAAGCGCTGGAACTTCTGGACGAAGAAGAGAAAATCCCCAGCTCTGGATCCCAAAATACTGAAGTTTTTGAGTTTTCTTGGGCAACTGGATGTGTTCTTGTATGATATCCTGCAGCATTTTCTTGTATGGCATTCTCATTTGCTTTACTTTACTTGGTTGTCGAATGAATCTGACTGGTTCAAGTTTGGTATATAGGGTTCACATGTTCTCTATTTGAACTTTGCTGCACTAATGAAGAGTGGGGAGCATTGGGATTTTGAGGGCTGCTGAAGTTACAACACTGTGAACACATGATTCCATGTCATCTCTGCTCGCGAGGCTTGGAGGGTATGTGCTCTTGGAAGGAGACAATCTTGATGTATCTGCCCTAGCATTTCTGCTGGGAAACCCTTGATCAATGCTTATTGGATTGCTTCTTCCGCTCACATTACTACTAGACAAGTAAACGCTGCTACATGGATGGCGTCCAGAATTTATGGGACAAATAATAGATGAAGAAGCTTTATAGCTTTTGCAGCTACCTTAGCTGCCTCATTAGAATCCAATTTTGCAAGTTTCCATGCATTAATTTTGATTGGGCGCTGAGGTAATTGTTTAGGCTGTCCTGCATCTGGATCAACCATTGATGGCAATCATCCTGGCTCCAAATGTGGGATAATTTCATCCCGTTTGAAGGAACAAGAGCACCATTGGTCTTCCCCATCCGACCCAAGGTTCAAACCAAAGATCTCCAAACTAGAGTCTCAAGCTCTTAACTAGTTGAGCCACCCCCTTTGGGGCTGGATACTCCTATTAAATAATGGCAAGTCTTGCCAGATTTTAGTACCATAAATGCTCAGGAATATTCTTGTGCATTAGCCATGCAAGTTTGAGCTGCATGCTCCAAAGTGGTAAGGTGAAAAACCACCATCCATAACCCTAGAGTTCATTCCTTCAAGCCAATATCCTCAAGAGGAGGTTTTTGCCTGTAGAGAGGCTACATGTATATGAAGTAACTTCATCTGTGCTGTGTAGCAGCAAAAGGAGGTCTAAGATTCTAAGAAGCATAGTTACTTGTTTGTTTCAAGTTGTTACCATATGAGCCAGGTATTTCAACTCCCTAAGTTTTTTTTATCCTAATGTTGATCCTAACTTTATCTGTGGATGAATCTTTTGCCACTAAAGATCCTTACCTCGGCATTGCACAATCTGCAGAATAGAGCATCTTCCTCTCCGGATTGTTGCTGTTGAATGTCTTCATCTTTGTGACAATCCTCTTTTACAAAACAACAACAAAAAATATCTTCAACTTTTCCATATGATTTTGATACGTGCCTAGCAGATTTTCCCCCAAGCTTCATATATATCTTGCAAGGCTCTTCAATAGAAAGTGTATTTCTGGTTGAACATCATTAAGCCTTTATGGTAAATTGGGAAGAATATACAGAGACATATCCTTAACTCATATTGCCCTTCATCACTTTACTCAAGTGGTCACAAGTCAGAGGCCATACATGGAAGAGTAACTCTCAGGTTAACAAGAGCTTAGAGAAGTTGGTACCCACACACTATCTTCAAACCTTGATTCTGCAATTAAGGTGAGGGGTTCAAGCCCCGGCAACAGCTAAGCACAAGCCTTCTTTGCCACACCCCACCCCCCAAAAAAAAAAAGAGTGATTATATTCATCCATTTCTAATTTTTCTAATTTTTATGCAATGTTTCAAGATCATTAATCAAATTTCTTTATCAGGCAGATAGAAGTTTGGTATGGTGATACTAAACGTCACTCAACTAGCCTTCAGAATTCATAACTTAGTAACCTGAATTAGGACTTACCTGGAAGCTGGAAGATTCATTTTAGTCCGTGACCTATAGGCAGATAAGTTGTCCACTTCTAGAAAAATTCCAGGATCTGCGGGATCAATTGCAGTGCATCAAGCATAAAGAATTAGCACAGAGAGTGCCTGAAATAAGAAATAAAGCATGAAGATATAATAAGTAAGAAATTGATTAAAGGTGTTTGCAGATGTTACTGAAGAATAAAAGAAAAAAACAATATTGACCCGTCGTGCTTACCAAGACACAATATACACCAATAGCCACAGTCATTGATATCCTTTCCAAGAAAGGAAGCAAAAAAGGCATAATAAGCAATAGATAGCAGGAAGAAAACTGTAATGGCCACAACCTAACCACCACAAAAAACAATGATAGCTAGTGTACAATTGTTTAACCAATGCAGAAACCAGAAAATTATCCCACGACTGCTTTTGGACTTTAGAGTTTAAAATCCTGGCCGAATTATAGCCTTGCAGGTGCACAATCATTCTTTATCTGGCCATCTAGGAACATGGTTTAACCTGATTAGCACACAGATTTTCCTCTTAATCAATAAACTTATCATTTTCCAATAAACAAGAAAATCATAAAATTAAATGTAAAAATGATAAGAATCTAAATGGCTTCACTTAAAATTTCAATCTTTTTAATAAAACAAAGTTGACTAGGAAAAACTAAAACGGTTGGCATCTTATACAAAAAAAAAGAAAAAAGAAAAGAAAAAAAAAAACCCTTAGGAGCATTAAGCCTGTATTTGGATAAAAATTAGTAAAGGAAAGAAAAGAAAGGGAGGGGAAGGAAAAAGTTGA